CCAGGCTCTGCTGCGTACCGATGGCGTGCCTCAACCAACCCTATGGACGACATGAGCTCCCGACGCAAACGTGCAATGCGTGCGATCCACGCCAGAGGTAGCTGGGCCGATCGCATCTGACTAGAGAGACTGAGGCCAGACGATCGCGCTCGTTCTCGCTGGGCGATCGTGCTCGTGCCGACTCTGGACACACGAGGCTCGCTGCCGACTCCCTGGGCAGACGAGGCCAAACGATCTTGCGCGCTGCCTACGCAGCTGGAGGAGCGGCTGGCTCAATGGGAGCGGCTGGCTCATCCGTCTTAGCGGGTGGCTCAGTGGCAGCGGCTGCAGAACCCTGAGCGGCTGGGTCAGCCGCCGGCACCTCGGTCAGAGCAGCTGGAGTCCCCGCCCCCGCGTCGCCGCCGTCCCCGGACCCGCCGGACGCTGGAGGCGGCTTGTCGCCCATGAGGGCGTCGCTCTCGCCGGAAGGCGATGAGGCTGTGCCGGCGGTGGCGGTGGGGCTGTGGTCTGCAGGGGCCTCAGCGTGCGGAGCCTCGAGGTCCTGGGCGGCGCTGCCGGCGCTGCCTGCTGCAGGGGCCATGAGGGGGACCTTGTCCTTCGCCCTCAGCAAGGCGACATTGGCTGCCTCCAGCTCCGCCTTAGCCTAGAGGTGTTCAGAAGTGACAACGGCTGTGCAACCACATCCTCCAAATCCTCGCTCATCTCCTCGGACTGATGCCACATCCTCCCTCTCCTCCTCCGCGGAGGGAGGGGGGAGGAGGGAGGGGGGAGGAGGGAGGGAGGGAGGGAGGGAGGGAGGAGGAGGAGGAGGCGGAGGAGGAGGAGGGTTCAGACGGAGGAGGAGTAGGAGGGGGGAGTCGGAGGGGAGTACTTGGGGCCATTCGCCCTCGTCAAGCCTGTGCCCTCTGCTTCTCGTCGAAGACCTTGACGTAGGACAGCACCTCGTTCGTGAGGTTGCTCGACGAGCCGTTCTTCTCGAGCATGGTGTGCAGCGCTTCGAGGGTAGCGACGTCGCCGCGCGAGGTGAATGTCAGGCGCAATCCGAGCACATCTGCGCTGAAAGTGCGCTCCAGGGCGATCCAGGCCGGAGGAAGGATCAACATGTCGCGCGGGCCCACAGTCCCGTGGTGCACGCCCTGGGGCGAGGAAACCAGCGCCTTGAAGAGCTCCAGGGACAACTGTTTGAAGCACCTGCTTGCCTGGCTGATGTGCAGTGGCTCCCGCACACCCCCCTTGATCAGCGCCTCGTACAGGACACTCAGAGGCACTGCCAAGACCTCGCGGGATCCAGTCACCGACACGCGGGCTGTTGTCAAGTAGCCCCGCTCCGGCACGCAGTGCAAGCGGCTCATGGTGTACGCGAAGAAGGACGGCTGCAAGATCGTCGACAAGTCCGTCGACGCGTTGATGGATTGGCCCGACAGCTTCTCCGGCCTGCAGCTCACCATGGCCTCAGATATGATGTCGCCGAGGATACCCTCGAACAGATCGAAGCCTTGGTTTGCTGCAGTCTCCGAGTGACCTACAGATATAATTGGCTTCTGCGCGCGGCCAGCGGTCTGACGGAAGGGATGCTGACCCCACTCGGCCTCGAACATTTGCCGAGCCACCCTGATGGGAGACGCCCCGGATCCTTCAGCCGACAGAGGGGCGGTCAACAGTTGAATCACTTCGTTGGACGCGTCAATGTTCACGATGCGCGGCAGGTCGATCAGCTTGGAACCAGTCTTCGGCAACTCCGAGTCGGTCATCGCCACGATCTCCTTGATCCCATCCATGGGCAAGAAAACGAATGGGCCCGACGGGTTGTTGGACTCAGCACGAACTCCAGCAGGTACGGCAGCAGGGCGGATACCGTGTGTGGAGCCTGGCTTCGGCGTCGCCGTCTTCTTCTTCTCCACCATGTCCTTCTCCTGCTTGATTTTCCTTTTGGCTGCAACTACTCCTGCCGATAACTCGCGTGCGACACCCGCTGTCGCCCCTACGAGCTCGGCGATGGCCTTCTTATGCTTCTTCAGGTCTTCTGCGATATCTGTCAGCTCCTGGCGTGTATTCGCGATCATGAAGCCTTCCAGTTTGTCGTCGAACTGCCCCATGGTCATGAGGTCCTCGTAGGATCCACAAGGCGGTCCCTGGCCGAGCTTGGCACGCTCGCCAGTACAGCTGTCCGCTGCTGTGGTACCTCTGCCCGATTGCAGATCGGCTCCGCGCGTCGATTCCCGCAACTTGATCGCTGCGATGTACTCCCGGAGCTTCTGGCTTGCACCCTCCTTGTCGCCATCAGTCATGAGGACAAAGGACAAGGCCTCCTTGCGAGAGGCTGCAACCGCACATTCCAACTTGACATGGCCCCGCACATCTTTCGCAGCTTCGAGGGCCTGGTTCACCGAGTCCATGGCCTGGATGGCCTTCGTTGCGATCCCATTTTTCCAGTTCTGCTGGCTGCGGGACGCTTTGGTGATGGCCCTGTCACGATCCAGCCACTTTTTAGTCTCCTGCGGAGGCTCCTCTGGCTCATCATCCTCTTCATCGCCTTCCTCGGCGTCTCCGTCACCACCGTCTCCGCCAGGAGCCGCCAGCGCGACCACACCTTCGCCGTCGTCCATCAGCAGGTCTTCAATGTTTCCAAGAGCGATCGACGAGCCTGTGAACGCCTGCCCAGCTGAACCGGCGCCGACCGCCATGGTCGACGCCACGTCGGTGATCCCAGAGCCAAGGCCGAAATCCGCGAAGGCCACCTCGTGGTTCGACGTGATCGTCGAGGCCATCTTCTTCAGGTCCTCCAAGCTACCCTTCTTGTTGCCAGACGCCGACCGGGTGACGCCCTTCTCCTGTGTCACTTTGTTCTCGAATACAACGTAATCGTCAACATTCACTCGGACGCGTTTCTCTCCGTCTTTTATGTCCTTGATCGCCCCTGGCGCGTGATACATGTCATCCCATAGTCGCTTGGCCCGCTCCTCAGGAACGGGACCCTTCTTGGGATCCTGCATCTCTAGGACGTACCTTGCCTGCGTCATCATGATTCCAAAGCCCTCCATCCTGACCCCCGTAGATGCTTTGAGAGTCTCGTAGTAGTTGTTGATGAACTTGCCGGTGGGGGCCTTCAATTGCGTCGCGTCGTCCCCGGAGCCGTACTTCTCCTTGTAGGCTGAGCAAAGTTTGACCGAGGACGACATACATGACAGCTGATCGCTCAGCCAGGGCGATTTGCCTTGAATTTTGGCGGCAGCGTAGAGTTTGTCTGTGATCTTCTTGTCCTTGGGGCAATATCGTTTATTTGCCATCTGGTCGGGCGAGAACTTTTTGGCGCACCCCATGCATTGCCACAGCGTCCCTGAAGCCTTGGCTTTCGCTTTGGCAGATGACAGAATTTGCTTTTGGGCTGGGCCTGTGCTCTCCGCCGGCTTGCCGCGCTTTCCTTTCTTCTCTGTGGCCGCTGCGGCTGCAGCTTGCTCCTTCGCGCGGGCACGTCGCCCCGCATGCTTGGCAGCCTGGCGCATCTGTGACCTCTGCGGCACGAGCTCAACCTCTTGCTCGCTTGACACCTCGCCCTGCTCCGAGTGATCGCTGAAATCAATGCCAGCCTCCATGCCTAGCCACAGGTGTAGACGGACAATGGCAGGTAGGGCTGGCTCTGGCAGCGGGTGAACACAAGTGCACAAGCGTCGTCAAAGTAACTGCAAGCCAAAACGTTTACGGAGGAGGAGGGAGAGGAGGGTGGGGGCTAGGGGCACCGATCCAGGGAGTGGCTCAGAGCTTGAGTTCAGACTATTCTGCCCGGCCAAATCCTTGTTGGTTTGAGGGGTCCATCCTTTCCCTCCTCCTCGTCGTCCCCCTCCTCCCACCTCCCTCCCCCCTCCTCCTCATGCACCTTATCCTCCTTTTCCTCTGTGCCAGGGACCGCTCGCAACTGCTAACTTTGCATTGCCCGCCCAAGTTTCTGACGATGTGCAGAAGTGTAAGGATGCGGTCAGCGTACTAATGTGAGCCAGTGGCTCCCGCTCACTCCCTCCGAGCCCCTGGCCCATCCCGGCAGATTCGCCCCTTGGCCCCAACATCGTAAGGCACACGTCGAGGAGGAGGAGGAGGAGGAGGGGGAGGAAGAGGAGGCGGAGGATGGTGATGAGGAGGGGGAGGACGAGGTGGACGAGGAGGGTGAGCAGGAGCAGGAGCGGGAGGAGGATGAGGAGCAGCAGCAGCAGCCCAGACATGTCAAGGACTGATCTTAGTAAGCCCACAGCCGCTCACGGACTGCTCTTAGTAAGGCTCACGGGCTCCGTACTGCACCCTCCTCATATGGCCCACACTCTCAAGGACTGCTCTTAGTAAGCCCACTTATGGCTCACCCTTCTCATATGGATCACCCTTCTCATATGGCTCACGATCTCAAGTACTGGGGAGGAACGCGGACACTGAGAGGGAGGAGGAGGGGGAGGAGAAGGCGAATGATGATGAAGAGGAGGACGAGGAGGAGGAGGGGGAGGAGGAGGAGGAGGAGGACGGGGAAGCGTAAGGAAGGGGAGGGATGAGGAGGATAATGATGAGGATTGTCTGGCATAGGGGGCGTATGATCATGTAAAAAACTTGTTTTCGATCAAACCGTTCTGATGGGTGCTGTAGAGCGACGCCGTGAACGACCACGAAACCTGCCCCGCCCGCCCACCAGGCGAAAAGGGTGGAGTACAATCCGAAAGCATATGCCTGAGGTGATGTACAGTCCTAGAGTCTACGCGTCGGCTGGGTCTCGTGCGGAAAGCACTGGCCACTGGACACCGAAAATGTTATGTGCCGCTTGATTCGCTAGCCTCCTCCTCGTCCTCCTCCTCCTCCTCCTCATCCGGGCGCCCAGAGGGCCGCCCGATTGTCAAGGCGGCCTCAGGCTAAGCCTTAGCCCCCTTAGCCTAGTCCGATTCATCGGTGCCGTGGGGGTAGAGCTCGCCGGGCGGCGCCTAGCCTCCTCCTCCTCCTCCTCCTCCTCCTCCTCCTCCTCCTCCTCCGGGCGCTCAGCGGGTCGCCCGCTCGCCAAGGCGGCCTCAGGCTAAGCCCTAGCCCTCTTGGCCCGCTTCATCGGTGCCGTTGGGGTAGAGCTCGCAGGGCGGCGCCTAGTGGGAGTTGTGGTGCGGGAGATCTTCGCCTTCTTCGCAGGGCCTTTCATGGGCGGCGGCGGGGGGTCGCCGCCGTTGCCGCGCTTGCGAACTGGCACCTGCTTGGCGGGGCTGAATTCGAACAGGGCGAGAGCGAACGCCTGAACGGTCCCGACAGCTTCCAAATGCATACCGTTGCCCATGACCTTCTTTAGCAACGTATCGGGCGCGGTAAAGATGTCATCCGACTGCCAGGGAAAGTACATGTGGTGCATCTCCCGTACGCGCTCGTCCACAACGCCGTCGATGCCATGAGGAAGGTGAGGCATGGAAATGGGGAACGACTGGATGGCAAAGTGCTCAAGCGGCAGGACGCTGCGGATCTGAATCCTCGTGCCAATCCTGTCCAGCCTGGGCTCCGCGGTCATGAAAGCCATCTCAGATCGGGTCAGCAACGCAGGGACCACGCCGGAAGGCTGCACTCCGTTCCGGCCCACCGTCTGCCCCAAGTCCACGGCGGCCACGTCCCCAATCATCGCATGCCCCTGCTCGAGCATCGTCTTGAACTGGTTACGGTACCCCATGGCCCGCTGAAAATTCGCTGCTGGGAGAATGTGCGCGAAATCAGCTTCTGCCCGATACACCAAGCCCAAGTGGTTCATCGCGTTGCGCATGAACTGGTTCTTCTGCACGACCGTGGCCTGTTGGTACACGTTGCAATTAGCGATGAGGTCGCGGAAGAATGCCGATTGGAACAGCGCCACCAGCAGCTGGCGCACCCTGGCGACTTCGTCCTCATCCCCAATAAGTTCCTTCAGCGCGAGCGCGGGCATGGTGGAGTTCTCCACGATACTCAACTTCTCCACGAGCGCACCAATCGTGTAGCGGCGCCACCTGTTGGCAGGAACGCCAAGCAGCTTTGGAGAGAAGTTGATGCTGAGGACGAAGTACTGGCTCAGTGTGTCAGCGAGATAACCCCACTGGTATTGTGAGACGCACTCGTGAATAAGCAAGTGTGGCTTGACATGCTTGACCCAGAACATCCACACGAGGCACGGGAGGGTGGATTCGTGGAGCCACTGCTTGGTCGCACTATCAGGAGATCTCATACTGGACCACGCAAGGCATGTCGTTCCGGCTGCTTCAATGTGCAGCTCGTCTGGCCTCAACCTTGGTTGCAGGGAGCAAGCACGCCCATGCACGTAGCAGTGGGCGCGCTTCCGGAACTTTGTCTTCTCCAACACCTTCACCATCTTGGCCATCATCTGGACGCCCACTCTCGCCTTCGAATCTTCAATCTCCTCCACCGTCAGCCGTTCTGGGTGCTCATCCAAATCTCGAGCAGCATCCAGTGCGTCTTTCTGGACCAACAAGAGATGACTCTGATCTGCTGTCGGCAGCATCTCCAGGACATCGCCGAAGACGTGGTCGGGCGAGAACTTGCTGGCGAGGAGCAAGCTTCTGGTCTTAACGTCGATCTCGCTGGCCGAATACGTGGTGGAGTCAAATTCGCCGACGCCCTCAAGCTGTGCCAGTGCTAGTTCGGCGCACCCAACTCCAGAATAGTGCGTCGTCATCAGGACCTTCTTGCGCTGCAACACTTCCTTGCAGCGAGCGCCCAGACGAGGCACATCTTGTATGACGCGCTCCGGCCATTCGATGATACCTGCGAAATCAGAGGGACCTGGCCTACCGTATCGGACAGGTTGCGCCACCTCTCCGTCGACCTCCATCAGTGCGTCGGTGTATCTGGGCGCGCGAAGTGGAACGGGCCAGATTGCGATAGCCAGGTTGAGTCACTGCGAGCCCAAAATGCCTACGGAAGGTCATGGACGGGGCCGGCGAGCATTGCTCCATATACGTATGACGTCGCACATCTTCGAGCCAACGAATACGTCCTCTTTGCTGAGCTGAGTCCAACCGTGGCGACGAAGGGACCAGCCATGATGGGTGGTACCAGCGGATTATCGTCTTAGAAATCAATAGGCACTGGCATCGATACGAATTAGCGCATCTCCGAGCCAGCGTGCACATCCACGGTGTCGGGCTGCTGCGTCCAGCTGTGATAGGGCGACGAAATCTATACATATCCACTGCTCCCTGGCCAGGCCCATCCTCAACCCCGCAGCGGTGTATACGCCACGCCCTCCTGGCTTGGCCAGGAGGGCGCATACACAGCTCCTGGGTTCAAGGTGGGCATGGTCAGGGAGCAGTGGATATGTATAGATTTCGTCGCCCGATGTGACGACGAGTGGACCCAACAGAAAGGAAGGCGAGCAGACGGCCGTCCAACGTCAGCTTAGCATTGGAGGGGCACACACACCTAGGAACTTACAGGTCAAGCGAGGAGGACCGCTGGGCCTCTGGCCACCACGTTGACGTTGGGTGCGGCGAGGGGGACTTAGAACACCAATTGGCCAGAAACCCAATATCGAAAACACACCAAAAACAAAAAAAAATAGAAAACCACAAAAAAACCTTGAAAATTCAACAAAATATTGAAAACACTGCAAAACAACACAAACTCAAGGAACGTGTGGCCCCGGACAACCCTTGGGGTGCTTTTTTTTCGGGAACTGCCCAGGGCCACCAGGGCGTCGCAGCCACCAGGGGGAGGGTCAAACTAATCACCTGACCGTGGGGCCTCCTCCTCCGCGTCCTCATCCTCCTGCTCCCCCTCCCTCCTGCCCCTCCGAGGTCCTCCTAGGTCCTCCTAGGTCCTCCTAGGTCATCAGACCTAGGAGAACCTAGGAGGACCTATGAGAGCCTCGGAGGGCTATGAGCTAGGACGGCCTAGGAGTACCTAGGAGGGCCTAGGAGGGCCTAGGAGGACCTAGGAGGACCTAGGAGGACCTAGGAGGGCTATGAGCTAGGAAGGCCTAGGAGGGCCTAGGAGGGCCTAGGAGGGCCTAGGAGGGCCTAGGAGGACCTAGGAGGACCTAGGAGACCCTAGGAGGGCCTAGGAGGGCTACGACCTAGGAAGGCCTAGGAGGGCCTAGGGGGCCTAGGAGAGCCTAGGAGGACCTAGGAGGGCCTAGGAGGACCTAGGAGGGCCTAGGAGGGCTATCAGCTAGGAAGGCCTAGGATGACCTAGGAGGGCCTAGGAGGAGCTAGGAGGACCTAGGAGGGCCTAGGAGGGCCTAGGAGGGCTATGAGCTAGGAACGCCTAGGAGGGCCTAGGAGGGCCTAGGAAGGCTTAGGATGGCCTAGGAGTGCCTAGGAGGACCTAGGAGGACCTAGGAGGGCCTAGGAAGGCTATGAGCTAGGAAGGCCTAGAAGGGCCTAGGAGGGCCCAGGAGAGCCTAGGAAGACCTAGGAGGACCTAGGAGGACCTAGGAGGGCCTAGGATGGCTATGAGCTAGGAAGGCCTAGGAGGGCCTAGGAGGGCCTAGGAGAGCCTAGGAGGGCCTGGGAGGACCTAGGAGGACCTAGGAGGGCCTAGGAGGGCTATGAGCTAGGAAGGCCTAGGAGGACCTAGGAGGGCCTAGGAGGACCTAGGAGGGCCTAGGAGGGCCTAGGAAGGCTATGAGCTAGGAAGGCCTAGGATGACCTAGGGGGACCTAGGAGGACCTAGGAGGGCCTAGGAGGACCTAGGAAGACCTAGGAGGACCTAGGAGGGCCTAGGAGGGCCTAGGAGGGCCATGGGCTAGGAAGGCCTAGGATGACCTAGGAGGACCCAGGAGGGCCTAGGAGGACCTCGGAGGTCCTCGGAGGTCCTCGGAGGGACAGTGAGAGTGGGTCCTCCGAGTTCGACCATCGAGGGCGCTCCGGGGGGCTCTGGGCCGTTTGGGTGGAGACTGCGGGGAGCGCACCAGAAGATCTCGTAGGACAACGCTGTTTGAGCGGTTGCGGTGTGCGTGATTGGTTTGGCACGATTTTCAAAGGATTCAACGGTTTTTAATAGTTTTCGCTGCGTTTCATGGTTTTCAATGTTTTCAGCGCGTTTGCTGTTTTTTTTTTTTTTTTTTTTTTTTTTTTTTTTTTTTTTTTTTTTTTTTTTTTTTTTTTTTTTTTTTTTTTTTTTTTTTTTTTTTTTTTTTGTTTTTTTTTTTTTTGTTTTTGGGAGTTTGCATTTTCCGCCACCAACCCCAACACTGCGGGCTCAACGGCACGCGCCGCCGCAAGCGGCGGGCCGTCGCACAGTCGTGAGCGGCGCACTGGACGCCCAAGCGTCTAACCAGCCTCAAGGCAGCCATGCACGGGGGAAGACCAGGAGCAGGACGAGAGCAGGTGTTGGATAGGCGGCACGAGGAGGAGCAGCAGAAATTTGCAAATAAACAATCAGTCTTGAGGAGGAGGCTGACCCTCTTCCAATCCGATTCGACGCCCTACTCACCTCCTCGTCCTCATCATCATCATCATCATCATCATCATCATCATCATCATCATCATCATCATCACCATCCTCATCATCATCATCACCATCATCCTCATCATCATCCATCCCGCTCCCCTTCATCTCCCTTTAGGGGGACTCCCTACATTCCGATCACCTCAATCGGAATCACTACTGCTGCTGCTGCTGCTATCAGAGCCAGAGCTGCGGCTGCTACTGCCGCCGCTCCCAGCGCCGCGTCCACGGCCCCTGCCACGACCGCGAGCACCGCGGCCGCCGCGGCCGGCTCCGCGCCGCCCACGTCCACCGGCTGCTGGAGCATCACCAGCAGCGGCACCGCGACCACGCCCGCGTCCCCTGGCTCCTGCGACTCCGGGGTCAGCAGCAGCAGCAGCGGCACCGCGACCACGCCCGCGTCCCCGGGCTCCTGCGACTCCGGGGTCAGCAGCAGCAGCGGCACCGCGACCACGCCCGCGCCCCCGGGCTCCTGCGACTCCGGGATCAGCAATAGCAGCAGGGCGTCCTGTGAGTGAGGAGATGGGTGATGGGCCTGCATTCCACCACCACCACCATAAGTTGGAGGGGGAAGGAGGATGAGGACGAGGAGGAGGAGGACGAAGAGGAGGAGGAGGAGGAGGAGGAAGAGGACCCCCTCTCCCTCCAACTTATGGTGGTGGTGGTGGAAAACAGGCCCAGCAATGGGGGCGGATGTGGAGGAGGCTAGAGGCCCCACGTATCCTCGACCACGCCCTCGGCCACCACCGCGACCGAGACCAGGTTCAGCAGCTGCACCTGCCGCAGGGACAGGGACCGCAGCTGCAGCTGCTTCAGCATCCAACTCAACATCGGTCGCAACACGTTCAAGAGGCCCATTCTCGATCTTCCTGGTGCGGATGACCGCGAATAAAGGGGCTGGGTCCATCGGCGCCACGAGATGCTGGCGTTGCCGTGTGCAGTCGCGCGCCTGTACGCACCAATACAACAGACGCCTCAGAGCCAAGCATCGGTCTCTCGCTGTTGGACCGAACAGGGGGACGTACTTCTTGCAGCCAGTCGCGTCGTTCTTTCTGTGGAACGGACAAGATGCCTGGAACCCCCCGTAGAGGCCAGCAGAAGGTTGCCCAGGCTGATATGGGGTTATCCGGAAGGCACCCCACTTCGACCCTTTCAACACGGCGTCGAGTGCGCCGCCTCCGCCAGCGCCGCCAGGCCCCCCCGCTGCAACGGGGTGTGCAGGCGCAGCCTCACCCGCTGGTCCTTCGGGCAACCCAGCAGGTCCGAGGTCCACAAGAGGGCCACCTGAGATCAGCCAACCCTCCTCCCTCCCATCCTCCCCTACCTCCTCTACTTCCTCAACGTCATCACCTCCTCCCCCTCCTCATCTACTTCCTCCTGTCCCTTCTCATCCTCCTCCGCCTCCTTGTCCTCATCCTCCCCTACTCCTCCGCCCCCTCTGTAGCTTGTCCGCAGCCGCCACCTCCACCGCCCGCATCGCCCCCGCCATGGAGGCCTCCGCCAGCAGGATCAGCTCCGCCAGGTGGATCACCTCCAGCCCCTCCGCCGGGTTGACCACCTGCACCAGGATCAGCACCTCCACCAAGATCTCCTCCGCCCGGCGGAGCAACTCCGTCTCCACCAGGAGCAGCTCCACCAGGTGGGCCTCCGCCTCCAGGATCACCTCCGCCAGATGGGCCTCCACCAGGATCAGGTCCGCTAGGCGGGCCTCCACCAGGATCAGGTCCGCCAGGCGGATCAGCGCCAGGATCTCCTCATGGGGGGAGGCAGCGCCGAGCTACTCGCCATCATCACCATCATCATCATCATCATCATCATCATCATCATCATCATCATCATCATCATCATCATCCTTGTCTTCTTCCCTCCTCCCTTATCCATCCTCCCTCCTCCTTCTCCTCCTCCTCCTCTTCCTCATCGTCATCCTCCTCCTCCTCCCTATCCCTCCTCCCCTCCTCCGAGCCTCCCCTTCATCCACAGGGGTCGTGGTAAACACTTGGTGGCCCCTCCTGGGGGCCCTGGTCTGGGGGGGGTGATTGCCACCGCCGTCTCCTGCGTCGCCGCCAGCAATGGCATCAGGGCCAATCATATCAATATCATCAACTTTGAAGAGCGGTGACCAGGCCCCGGCCCCTGGTGATCCAGGTGGTGTCGGGCAGTCGACACCCTCCGGACCGCTGGCGTCGGAATGGCCGCCTGGGGCGTCGGGCCCTGGTGATCCAGGTGGTGTTGGGCAGTCGAACATCTCCGCACCGCTGGCGTCGGAATGGCGGCCTGGCGGATGCGAGAGGAGGAGGAGGAGGAGGAGGAGGAGGAGGAGGAGGAGGAGGAGGAGGAGAAGGAGTGACAGGGAGAAGTGAGGGGGGAGGGGGAGGACGAGGGGGAGGGGGAGGACGAGGCAGGGGGGGAGAGAGGAGAGGAGAGTGGGAGAGGTGTAACACACACGTACATACATGCCGCCACCTTCACCTCCAGGGCTCCCAGGCTCGGGCTCTGCGTCGTCGTCGGTGTCGTCGCCGATGGGCTCGAGATCGATGTCCATCTCATCGTCCGGCAGATGCTCGACGTCGGCGATGGGCAACATACTGATTGCCTCCCTCGGCCTTCTGGCTGGACCAGCAGCAGATCCGGGCACGGCCACCTCCCCGTCGACTTGCATATCTCCAATTGCTGGCGTCAGCTTTCTCTTTCGCGAAGGAGCGGGGGCAACGAAATCACGCCCTTCAAGAATAGCAAGGTATTGCGCATCCGTCGCACCGTGGGGGATTGTAGAATGTTTCCCCAGTGCCACAATGATCTCAGCTTGTAGCAAACAACGCATATATTTGCACACAGTTGAAGTAATTGCATTGGAAACCGTATACCACTTCTTGACGCCCCCAGGCGCGTAACCCTTCAAGGCCGTCCGCGCCTTCGGATTTGTTGGCAGTTGGTGCCATACGAAGCCAAGGTTACTCAGTTCCATGAGCATCTCATAACTGGTCCGATCGTCAATTGGCACGTCGGCGACGGGTCGGCAGTCGCACACCCGATCGCACCGACTCACGTGCCACAGAATCCGTAATCTGTCCACTCCTTGCGCAGTCAGGTAAAACCCATCGGCATCCTCCGCCACAACGCTGATGGCCATCAACTCCGGGGTGACTGCAGCGTGTACACCGAATGCCCCGGGCGGAACGCGCATGTTGTGTGGTGGGTACGCACCAGCATCCACCAATTGTGTCACGGCATTCGCCCCATCGACGATGCACCCATCCACTGTGTAGCGTACGTGGCTGTCGATACTCCAGCGGGTGAACGAGTCCTCGACGGTTGCGATATTATCACCGAGAGAATGAATCAGCGAAACATCCTCGAAAGGCGCTTCAGCGTGCACGAGGTAGGTATCGTCATCGATCTTGGAGTGAATGTTGTGCTCAGTCACAGCCGCATGGGTGTCACGTAGTTGTGCGCGACTGCCCAATGGCATCTGTAGTTGCTTGGACGCCGACGGCCTCATTTTCACAACCCTGAAAAAGACAAATGCTTCGTCATCACGACCAGATGTGCATTCACCATCCAGGATCATCAGCGGGTCTGGGGCTTCCTGTCGTCGCGCTGCGCCTGGGTCTCGGCAGTAGTAACTTCCAAGTGGCTGGATGAACGTACCATTCCCCAATGGAAGGGAATACAATACAGATGGTGAGCCTGAGCCCAATGTCCTGAAGTGGTCCAGTATGGCAGCGCGCTTCATTCCATCATAGCTGATTGGCTCAGGCGGCTTATCCCCCAAAATCATAAGCTGTTCTTTTTTCTGCTTGGCCGCCAAAGTATTGTGAGCTCGCTTCGCCTCGGCCAAGTTTTGGTATTGAGAGCGCAAATCAAGTCTGTAGATAACCTGGGCCAATGGCTTCTCCAAGTACGACGAAACGTCCTTCTTGACAGCTCGCAATTGGAACAAGTCACGGATCTCTGGGAAACCTTGAAGTCCCAGCAGCGAAGGGACGCTGGCCAGGTGGCGAGCCGTGGCGAACTTTTCCAGGAGGAGGTTGAAGAACGGTCGGGCCGGTCCTGTTTCTGACGCTATTCGAGATTCGATCAGAGGCATGCGGTTGCTGAGGCTGGCAATGACAGATCCCGACCTTGAAACTTTTTTCCTTTTTGTGGTCAGCACTGCGTGTTTGCACTCGATCGTGGTCTCAGTGACGGGCACGAATCTGAGGACTGCCACCGCGGCTTGGAACTCATCGGACAGGTCGGACCAATCACAACCTTCAGCAAAACGACACAAGTCACCGTGGAGCGGGCCATCAAACATAAACTGATGAGCGACCCGACGGTGGAGGGTCTTGTCAGGCGTCGTGTCCAGCGCATTGATAACATCGCGTGCAACGCGCTGTGCTTCAGCTTGGTCATTGTGTGCCAAACCACAGAGCAACCACGGCATCCTCTGCCAGAAGTCCGTCTTTGTGCGAAGTACTAGCTTCAAATGCGCGGTCGCAGAGTGCCACGTCTGCAACAGGTCGTCCAGCTCCTCGCGCCCTCCTTCTGGCGTCGCCAAGTACGATACCTCTGACATGAGATCTGCAGCCCCCTTGCGTGCCATTGAGTCCATGACGTTCATGATGTGGCCTGCTGCTAACTCGGGCGCCCTCTTGCCTGCAAGCGGACATGTGTGGCAATGATTTCCGAAGTGGGACTCTGCCACGCGTTGCCGGTGCAGGAGTGATTGGCCGACGAACATCGGCTCGTGACACGGGCAGCCTTCGGACCACGATGCGATTTGCTCTGGGATCCTATCCAGTTGGAGCACGAGGGCCAAGAAACCCTTGAAGGCCTTGTCTTTGATGGTCGCAGAGAACATCTCGATATTGAACTGAGCCGATGCTTTGGAGGCCTTGGTTTTCACACCGACGTCGACGTCGTCCGCAAATACCCCAGCCTCGTACTTCTGGGGATCCCAGGTCGCCGACAAGAGGGTCATCAGAGGCTTGACCGCCTTGACGAACTTGTGAACTTCATGCCAGCGCGCCTCGTAGAGAGAACAAGTAAAAGTTTCCAAATCTGACGCGTACTCTGCCATCGGGGTACCTTCGATACACATGGCAAGGAGCCGCTGCCGTCTTCTCGTATTGTTTAAGATGGCTTCCATGTTTTTGAGCTGTGTCCAGTAATCCGACCAGCCGCCGATCGCAGTGTGGACCTCCTCTAGGAGGTTGTATACGACGTGCTGGATGCCTGCGACAGGCATGGCACCAGGGAATAAATCCGCATGCCCGCCGACTGCCGGGCCGCTGGCGAGCAGACCTCTCTCACGCACAGTTACACACGAACACGCATTTACAGTCAGCTTCAACATCAATGCATGAGCACGCCTGAGCACGCACACACGCACCAGCTCATAGTCCCCATGAGACGGGGAGAGGGGGGGAGGGAGGAACAGAGGGCGGGATGGATGGAGGATGGAGGGGGGCATGGGGCAAGAAAGGAAGGGCGAGGAGGGGGAGGAGGAGGAGGAGGAGGAGGGGGAGGAGGAGGAGGAGGCCCATCCCCCTCCCCCTCTGGCCCGGCGGGTGCCCCGGCAGAGCGTCTGAATATTCAGGCCCGTCTGCTGGTGCAGGATCGGCGACACGATGTAGCGAGGTGTCCTGGGGCGGGCGGGCCGGCGGGGAGGGGGGGGCCCGGGGGGCGCCAAACCTCCTTATACAATCCTCCCATACCCTCCCCCTGGCCTCCCCTTCTCCTCTACCGCCTCCCTCCACCCTCCTCAATTTTTTGTTGGCATCCCAGTCCTCGTGATCGCACTCACCATCCATCTCCATGGTCTGCAACATCATATGGTGTGGCATGGCACTTGCAAGCTTTACTTGGAAACATGGGAGCCCTACCTCTGTACCAAGGTCAGTTGTCACGGACGCATATGACGACAAGTGGTTCCGAAGATCGGCCCAAGATGGACACTCCAGCGCCATGGCGCGCAGCATCGCGGAGGCTTTATGCGGCAGGTCGGTCGCGCCGCTGCCAAGTGCTTGCGGGGCGTAGATGTGGTGGGAGATCTCCGACGCCAGCAACTTCAATGCCGCGCGCACTCGAACGCTCGCATCATCGTCAGGGGGGGCGCGGCCAGCGGCCATATCCTGCAACACCTGCTGCGCGAAGCTTGCTTGCACGGTGCGGGGCGCTTCCAGCACATCCCTGAGCTTGTCTACTCTGATGACGTGGGCCTCGATCCAAACCCAGTCGGCGAACTTGTTCTCGGACGAATCGATCCACATGTACCGAATGGAGTGATGCGTCCTGTTCTCAACCTGCGACACCAAAAGAAATGCAACGTCCATGACAAGCCGGTAGCGCCTCAGCGTGCGCGGCTTGGGGGGCTGGAAACCTGAGCGCGTGCTGATGTTGTGCAGTGTGCCCTGCGCAATCTGCACGGGCAGAGTAGCCCGTAATGCATGCAACACAGCTGACTGGAAACCATCGGAGTTGACGATGTTCGAGGCAAGGCATCGCACGTAGTGCAGCATGCGTTCGGCATCAACTGCAAATTTGGCACCCTTACCCGGGTGGGCGCGTAGATCTGGCTCACCCCCCGCTGGGTCACTCGCCGCTGAATTGGTAAACCACCCACGCAACAACGCCGCCCAATCCTCGAGAATCCGAACAGCGCCCCCCATTTCTGCAAGTTCATCAGCACATGGCAAGTCATCGCAGCTCTCCGCATCAACCTACGAGGCGGTCCACAATACAAGCCACTTCACCTCTCCTCCCTCATCATCCTGCTCCTCCTGATCCTCCTCCCCGTTCCCTCCGCGAGGAGGGGGGGGAGGAGGAGGCGCATGGGGGGCGAGGAAGGGAGGAGAAGGAGGAGGATGAGGAATGAGGAGGATCTGGAGGCGGAGGAAGGATGATTAAGAGGCGGAGGAGGAGGAGGCCGAGAGATGTCAGACTGGGGTTTCATGGGACCCGGGGACATCGTCAAGCTCGTGGCACCGTCTGCTAGCCCACGTTTTTACTCGAGTCGCCAACGTTTCGAGCGTGACGGCGGTGAGGTCCGGTACCGATAAAGGTTGGGGTCGGGCGTGCAATGGGCCATTGCC